ATGGACTGGTTTCCACCTTTCTAGACTCCGAAGTAGGCGAGAATTGCCGAAACGATAGCCGACGGAATTGTAATATTTAACCATGTGTTCTGTTTGAATAAAATAAAGTTGTATTGGATAGGAGTACTGCGCTCGGATTGCACAGTTATGGGTTCGAGACCCCGTCTGAGGCCGAATTTTCAACCATAACTCGCCAACCTTGTGGAACTTTCGCATCGCGTAGTGCGGCAAAAAACACCAATTACCAAATCAGCAAGTCAAAATAAGGAGCTTCAGTATTGTGTAGCAAACAAGCGCCTAACTAACAGTTCTCTTAGAGAGTCATAGTATCACCCCTCGCCGCGGCCAGACATCTTGACATACACAGATTCCTCATTAGTTTTTTTTTTTTCGAAAATGTGGTGGATGTAAAGTGGTAACTGATTTGTCTCAGGCCATTTCCATCGCCAGGCAGTGGCGGAGTTGGCATCGAGACTATTGGGCCCAGAGGCGAAAATTGGGGCGAGCTGATTGTCGGGTGGCTCATCGTGGATCATCCTAACGTCGTCGGGGACGCTCCTCAAATACAAGCAGTAAAATGAGTCAGCTATGTATACCCAACATCCGCTTTTCTGCCCCTCCAGCCAATGTCACGCTGATCAGCTAAGCCACGGAGAAGTCTCTGGAAGAGAAAAAGAACGAGATGTTGAGGTAATTACCAGTAATTGACTCTTGCCTACTCCATTCCTAGTAGCTTTCCAGCTCACCTTAGCTGATTGTACGTTCCGTTTCCTTACGGTAAATATACTCAAAAGCCTCTATGACGTTTAGAACTAATTTTATAGCTTCTGATATTATTTCTCCATTTAACGCTTAATAATTTAATTTTAATTCCTTGTTTGAAAGGCATAGTTCACGATTAGCTGATTTTCAAGATTTCCAACTGGGACAAACTTGTGGTGCCCAGGTATGCCAGATAGTGCTTTGTCGGGTCGAAAAGCGGCCAGAATACGACGAATTAGGGCTTGTAGACCGGCTTTGTCACATCCGAAACCTCTTTGAACGGTGTTGTAGGGACTGCATTGCTCACACNAGGGCACACATGTTGAGAGTTCAGAATTCTTGTGACTTAAGGCGGTGGTAGAAGGCAACCTTCGCCTATATGAGATGTTTTGACCAATTCCTTATGCAATTGTACGCTACTGAATTTACGTTCGAACACGGCTCCATACTATTTCGGTGTTCGCAACCCCCTATTCCACTACTTTTCAAAAGCCTTATGCTTCGCAAATTCCGTGAGTTTTCTCGCTTTTTCGCCACCGGTGCTCTACTCTCCACCAACAAGCCTGTTTTTAACTCGAAAAGGTATCCCAGAATTACTCGAACTGTTTCATTAAACTTCATGCCATTTCATTCTGATGTTACCATTTACTGATGTATTTGAAGACATGAAGATAAAGATCACGACGCCCCACCCTCCCCTTCACTCTTCCACCAATCCTCATTCTGTCACTGAATTCAAAGGCATACTCAGCAGGAGAGTGCCGCAGCTAAAGGTGCGTCCTGAATCGCTTCCCTGAAAGCCGGACATCTATACCTTCGGAAACGGCTGAATGACGAAGAAACTTGTTCGGGAAGATGAAAACACCTTCACCTGGGTTGGATGAGCATGAACTAGCTATCCCAATCAAACTTCTTATCCATTCTAGACGAACTCAGGCATCCCAAATTTAAAGGAATCAGTTCCAACCCCTCCGTCGTCATACTCTATGTTGCACTCTAGAATACCCTACATTTGTTCTAAGATTGTATTTTACGGCACAGAAATTGTCCCTTCACCATTACCACGAACAGAAATTAACTTGGTTCCCAGTGAACCACCACATAATATCAATTTTACTTGGTTTATCACTAAGAATTTGAGCAAGAGTACAGAGAGATCCAAGTTTCACATTGGAAATCCGTCCACTACACTGTAGCATTAAGAGCTGTCATTTGTTGGCATTTTCGAGCTTCGATTTGGCGTTGTCTCGCCCTTGCCACATGTCCCCATTCGACACACATTCGCTTCCGCTCACTGCCGTTCTCCAGCCGAGTGGTGTGCTTCACATAGCCGACATCCTCTACACCTAGACAACATACCTGAAAACAAGCCGTTAAGCTGTGATCGGACATCAGTACTTCGATAACAGTTAAACACAACCAACAACATGGACTGTTCTAAAAGAACGTACTATCTCGTAAGATTATGGACACCTTCATTATCAATGAGAGACATGGGAAGAACTAAACTGAACCGACAGGTAAATTTGTGATATTTACCGGTTTGTGGTTTAGTTTAGTCCCCCATTTGAGGTGATAAAAAGGCGCAACTCAGTTGAGATTCCACAATCAAAAATGTTTTACGGAAGTATTTACTCGTTCAATAATGAAATGCTTCCGCCTTTTTTCTACTTGAAAGTGACTGGATGTCTGGGATTCGGACTTGCATCGACTAGTCTCCGATTTCTCCCATGTTGCAACTTCGGCATGACTTTGTAACGGTAATATTATTGCGCCTTCAGATGGAACGCTTTATCAAATTCAACTACCTGACCTTCCGGATTGGTAGCCTTCTTCAAAGGACTGAATACAACTCGACATTCTCATGTTGAACAATTTTCGAGTAAGTTTCGTACTAAAGAGAAGGACTTGCTAAAGTGGATCAAGCGCTTTTTAGAAGCTGTGCAGATCCTAACCTTAAGTTGCTCATAGGTCTCAAGCAAACACCTCTCCGAACCCGAAGCAATCAATTCGAAACGCTAGGCCGTGTTGAGGACTAATGAAATAGGGACTCGTAACTATAACGGTTATAAGCCTAAAATTCCGGATTTGCGTAGGATCAATCAATGACACAAAACTTATGTTGGAAGTTTGAAAAGTCCTACATTAGTGAATTTTCACTCATTTTACCATAGCAACTGATTTCGTCTTTATATGGTTCTTGATGTTTCTTATTTTACCTAGCGGGATCCCCACTTTCTACCTACCGCGCACTCCTTAAATTTCCTCAAATAAAATACATTCATATGGATTGAGCCATGAAAAGGGCATAGGAGCAGAGGCCCGATGCCACTTGAACATGGATCATTATCATTTTATTGGAGCCACAGAAAAACACAGAGGACTGTACTACATTAAAGACAGCTATTATCTTACCATGACATTAGCGAACTTGACCTTCAGTGAACCATCGGGACATCGTCGAGCCTATAACATTAAGTAGTAATCGATGCTATTTCTGCTGCTTAAAGTCGCTGTTAACAATCTACGTACGTTATATTCTGGCTCAATCCATTCTGGTTCCACATTACTATGATTGTACACATGACGATCGGTGGGAAGCCCTCTGTACGTCGATCGTTCTCCAAACCGTTGCCAGCTTTTATTCGTTCCTTCTATTCGGAGACATGAGCCACTCGAGTCAAATCTTTAACAAAATCTTCATGAAAAGAATGAAGAATGGCATCTTTCATAGTCCACGACCGGTCGCGCAACTGGTCGCGACCCACCGGCGACCCACCGTCGCCAGTCGCTAGCGACTGGTCGTGGACTATGAAAGATGCCAATCAAAAGTACGTCAAAAAGCAAAAAAGAAATTGACGACCAACTAAATACAGATCATGAGATATGACTGACGAGAAGAATTTAAACAATGGCCATTCCAAAACAACAAAGGACTGCAAAAGCTGGGTATGCATTCAACTGCTAGAATAGTTCCTAGCGGAAGTAAGCTGTCCTGCGCATTCCGAGCACAAAGATCAACTTATTTATTACAAATCCGGCTATTGCCCTTATAGCCAGTGTGAGTAAATATCGAAAATCACGGGGCCATAGTGATCATAGGACTGGGGCCGAGCTTTTAATAATTTCTATTAATTTCCACCTCAGAGGCGCAGTTCAAGACTAAAGCGATTTCTGGAGATATCCCCCTACGATGAGAAAATGGCCCACCGGTATACCATGTGTGACGCTCTCAGATCAGAAATCAGCCTAGATAGGGCGCTATAAGAGTCCGAAGACTATATCGCTAGTATGCCACACCCATAGCGAATGAGTTTCAACGGCGTTGCAGAGGCCAACTATTCACAAGGGACAACCACGCTGAAAACTCAAACAATCGTGGCCCATGGCGACAATGGAAGGCAGTTTTGAACATTTTTGGCTTGATTTAGTCAGTTTTTACAGCAAATCTAACAACAGAAGTCTCATCCGAATACTTCCTCCATGCTGTTTCCGTCATCGTAATCTCGTACAAGCTATATTTCCACTACTTATAGGAAGCCTTATTTTAAGCGAAGAAGGCGGATTTTTTCGCATCCTTCACCACCGAGACACTATTCTCTAAAAACACTTCCGCTTCCCAACGAAAAAGGGAAACTCAAAACTAAGGAGAATTGCGGCTTCAGGGAAATGTTAAAAGGACAATGGTGAATCAATTAATATTTCCATTGCCATTAAAATGCCCCCTGGCTAAACTTCCATTGTCAGACAAAGGCATCCGTGTTAGCTAACCACTGGCGATACAAAACAACAGTTTCTCGGGGAAGTTTAATGTCTCATATCCGAATCTGGGAAGTCTGAGTACTTGCTTGGACTAGGTGGTACCAAGCCAGAGCAAATGGACAGTGACCAACTGCGTGGTTAGTGGCGCTCCCTATTGCTACTGCACCGTATCCACGTAGTAAGCAAATCCTGTGATACCGAAGTCTAAAAAACATACATTTCGACAAATCTTGAGCGATCACCATGGAGCATAGTCTCTGTGCGTTGTTTCGTGACCGGATCAAATCGTGAGATCTCCCCGGAGAGGCGGTACAGCTCAATCTGAGATATATAAGAGTTCAGGAACTCTTCAAATTCTTGCGATCGTTTTTAGATCTGCTTCACAATGGTCACATACAAGCAGATTGGCCTCTAATTAAAATGTCTTTAGAAGCTTTGCTAATCTTTTATTCAACTCCTGATTCTTTTGAACTTTAATCTAGAGGCCTGGCGTTAGAATTGCAGATAACGACCTTTTTAACAGTCTTATTACAAAATGATGCCAACTTGTTTTCATGTTATTTCATGGTCCCGGTAGATTACTGGATCAGAAATTCTCTAGCCCTGAATTCTCGAGAATGCAGTTTTCCTGGTCCTTGACTACATCCACTAACCAGCTGTAAGGAAAAAGCTGAAAGATGGAAACGCTAGCGGTGAGTACTGAAAACCTCAGGAATCAACAAAATAAGGCCCATTTGCAGCTGGATTTGTAAGAATTAGCCCGGACCACAACAGCTCGACGAAACCTATACTCTGTTGAGTTTTCACTCATGAATACTAATCATTCAGGCACAGTGCTCCTCAGTCTGTTTGTATGAAGTTAGACGCCATACCTGTCCATTGTTGAAATATCGGATGCCGCATCCATTGACAAGGGTAATCACTGTGGCGCCCATTACTCCAAAGTAATTAATCTGAAAACGCTGGGAATACGAGGGAAATGCCCAGTGCCTCTTAAATCGCAAAATTTGACCTCCACAACACGATCACAGCTCAGCCAACGAATGTCAGAATTACTGTACTCGTACAAATCACAACCGCATTCAGTAGTCGTTACTTTTGTCCAGTCTCCTAAAACGAAATAAAGGATCTTCTAATAATGCTAGCTAGAAAACTTTTGCCAATGTCCACCAACACTAATACAGTGTAATCTTTTTAATAACACATTTGCATTTTCAACAAATTACCATCCCACCTATTCCATTCCTGAACAAACGACAGGGCCCGAAAAAAGCAGTTCCCTCTTCAACCAGCTCCTGAAAAGAAAGTGGGTAACTTTGCTGAACTGTGCCTAATAAGGGTTGCTTAAGAAAATTGTGACATTTTGAAAATGGAAGTATCGAAGTTTCCAAAGATGTTTCCAGAATTTCCACGTTGCTTAGGTATCATACACCGCATTTGAGAAGAATTATTGGTAAACATGATCCCCGTGACTATCAGTACCTTCTAAAATGACAGTAACAAATTTTAAATACAATTTCTGAACAGTGTTATTCCGGCAGTTTTCCTCGGGGGCCTTCAACAAATGTGGCATGCGTTGAATGTAATCAAAAAACTTGGGGCTGAGGTTTAACTACATCGAATTCCCACTACATGTAAGCCCAGAGCTCGAATTAAAACCATGGAATGAAGCTGAATAGAGAACCACTACAGTCTCAACAAAAATTTTTGGTGTAATCTAGAGAATGTGCCCCGCATCCGACTTTGTACAAAAATCGTAGCGGCGTTGCTAATACGTAAGTGGCTCGTGTAATAACTTTGGGTGCCCAGACGGAGTGAAAAGCAGTGTTTTCGTACACTCAGACGGGTCTATTACTGTTTAACCGAAAATCTAGAAGTGGAAGCCCCTGGGCGGATATCAGTCCAAGATTTACTTCCCGGACAATGCCTGTGGCGACGTGCCACTTGGCGCTACTCCAATTTCACCTATCAGTACCTTACCTTATAAGGAAAAAAAGTATCCCACCATTTCAAATTGTGAAGGCTATCAGGAGTGCGACAATAAACGCATTACAGTTTGAAAGATGGGTTTGAGTGCCGGGGTTTCGAGAACCTTGGACGAGATACGGTGGACCTATATAATCCAGCGGTACATGTACCTCAAGACTGGATAAAATCGTTGGACGATCGGTTCGATGATGTGGCTCAGGGAGTTCACTTCCAAACTACTCATCCAAAAAATTATATGAGAAGTGTGCGAAATGTTGACATTCATGGTATTCAACTTGTTTCCCATAAAGTTCAAAGGATAAAGTCTTTTGTCGTCAATCACTACAGTTTGGGGGATGCCCCCCCCCCCTCCCCCCGGGTGCGCTTCGTTGCGCGTGTCCGTCGAAACTAGGTCACGCCGCAGCCGTCGCATGCGGCGGGTCAGCCCGCGATACT